CCCTAAGGGAAGCTGGGCACTCTTACAGATGAGGTGGGAGTAAATGTGTGAAGTAAACCAACTGGATCCCAAGAGTAGAGGAGTCCATAGAGATTTGGAGAGGCCACACCAACCTTCAAGAAACATCCAGGACTCGGCGGCCATCACTTGCACTTATATGGATAGGTGGGAATGATATGGTCAAGCTGACCAATTTTTAAATGGAAATTAGAAGTCTGGGGTTTTCAGACAAATTTCCAAATTTTGCAACATGATAGACCAAAGATGACGTTATTGATGCAGAGTAAGCCCACAAATCATGCCTTTTGTGATGCTTTGTCTGGCCACAGGTGTACTTCCAAGCCAGTGCAACTCTGTTAATACCAAATGTGTACGTTGAAATCCTAAGCCTAACATGATGATGGGGGTGGGATAGGGAGGTAATCAGGACAGGAGAGCAGAGCCCTAACGAACAGGATTCGTGCCCTCATATGAGGTCCAAGAGAGCTCCCTGGCCCTCCCATCATGGGAGAGAATAGCTAGAAGGTGCTATCTGTGAACCAACAAACATTTCTCACCACATAACAACTCTTCTGACACTTTGATTCCTTGTCTTCAGATTGTGAATAGTAACTTTCTATTGTTGATAAGCCACCTAGTTTATGATATTTGGTCATAGCATCCTCAATGGACTGAGATAGCTGGTGAGCTCATTAGGTCATTTCAAAGTTATTCCCTGACGTAGAGCAGAAGACAGAAGACCAAGAAAGACTGAGCGACCCCTTCTCTCTGCAACCTACCCTCATCTCAGTCCAAGAGATGGTTTGCCTCCAAGGAAAAGGGAAACCAAAGAAATGGAATACGGGAGGCTTCCATAAAATGCCACAAACTCTTGGCTTAAACCACCTCCTGAAGTCATTCCTTTGATAAAAAAAAAAAAAGGTAGCCAGGACTTAGCAGGGGGACTAAAGGGGAAAAGGGGGCATAGGATCTCATAAACTCCATCAGTTCAGATGAAGAAAACTAGGCTAAGGGACAACACGTACTACGCAAACGTAACCTCAGAACAAGATGACTTACAGTGAGCAAGCCAGCAGGATGACTTTAATCAGGAAGCAGACAGTAACATATATCGGTGAGGTTGTAGAGAAAATGGAAACTTCCTATTCTGCTGAGAATGCAGAATGGTACGGTCTCTCTGGAAAACCACCCAACAATTCCTCCCAAAGTGAAACAGAGTTACCACATGACCCAGAAATTTCATTCCTGGACATATACTCCAAGAGAAATGAAATGTGTATTTATACAAAAACGTGTACACCTTTGTTCATAACAGCATTATTCATAATAACTAAAAAGTAGAAACAACCCAAATATCTATCAACTGATGAATGGGTAAAAAAAATATTGTAGACTCATACAACAAATACTACTTGGGAAAAGAAAATTGTGAAGTAATGAGACTTTCTACAACATGGGTGAGCCTCAAAAAATACTAGGTGGAAAAAGTAAGTACAAAAGACCACATATCATACAAATACATTTATGTGAAATCTTGAGAATAAACAAATCTATGATGACAGAAAGTAGATTGTTGGTTGCCTAGGGATGGGCATGACGGGCCACATGGTCAGTGGGAGAGGTGGAATGGTAAAGGGTATGGAGCTTTTTTCTGGAATGATGAATGTGTTCTAAAATTGTGAGTTCGATCCCTGGTACCAATAAATAAATAAATGAATAAATAAGTAAGTAAATAGATTGTGGTGATGGTGAGGAAACTCAATGCACTAATATCCACCAAATTTAACAGGATAAATTATATGGCATTTAGCTGTACTTCAATAAAGCTATTGTTTAAAAATAATCCAAGACTAAGATTGCTGTCCTTTAACATTTTCTATTTTTAAAAAGTCCTGTGTCCATATTCCTTTCTTTACAGTTTCCCCCTGGAAGAGACCACACAAGTGTTCCCGAAGGATGGATTCCCTCAAGGACTCCGAAGTCCTGCTAGGGTGACAACTGACCTGATTTCCCCAGAAATGCCTCAGAGTGAGCCCTGAAAATCCTGTGTCCTAGAAAATCCCCAATTGCTGGGTGAGTTAAAATAGCCAGTCACCCTTTGCCATACAGGAAAGCTGGCAATGGCTGGCACTGAATATTCAGACAATCCGTCCCCATGTGGGGTATAAGTCATCCTTGAGCTCCCTCTAATGGCCAATCTGTATTTTTATCGTCGCTGTTCCCATTCTACAGACGAGGAAACAGAGGTTCAGAAAGATGGAAAAATTTTCCCAGGGCACACAGGGGCCAGGAATTCAGCTTGAATTTTCCTTTAAAGCTGTTCCACTCATCATATTGTCTCTGATCTTATTTCTGAGTGTATTTTCCAGCAATGCTTTTAGCTTTTTCTTGCCCTCTGAGGATGATGGACATCTAAACAGGATACACGCATTTTCAGCAAGGAGATATATACAGTTTGGTTGATAGCACATATACAGCTAGGCTGCTGAAGTCTGAATCTGTGGTTTGCCACTACTTAGCTGTGTGACCTTGAACAAGTTACTTAACCTCTCTATGTCTCAGTTTTCTGGTATTTAAGATGGAAGAAATAAGTGACACATGCATGTAATCCTGGCACTCTGGGAAGATGAGGCAGGAAAATCCCAAGTTCAAGCCAATCCTGGGCAACTTAGTGACTTAGTAAGGCCCTGTCTGAACATTTAACCAAGTTTTAAAGGATTAGTACATTGCTCAGTGCAGTGGTACTGAGTTCAATCCTTAGTACCATCACCATCAAAAAAATATGAAGGGGATAACAGTAGAATAAATATATACACGTGCCCAAATACATTTACTATAACATACAACTGTCACATAGGATGGACTGGAACATGGCTTATAGCAAGTTTGTTAAATAAGTGAAAGTAAGCATGGATTGCTACATTCAAAATAGGATAGCAATCAGATTAGGCTCAACACAACCAGGCAGAGGACCAACTGATGGACATGAACACTGACATTCTGCATTCTGTTCTGTTCATTTCCATGTATGGTTTAGGAAATGTAGGAAGATCTAGATCATCAAAAAAACCTCAAAATGCAAACTGGCACTGGAGACCTGGGTTACCTAACCAAAACAGGATGAGATGGTGCCACACTACCTGCCATGGACTAGAGCCCAAAATTGCCCTTGTGTCATACCTGTCTCTAAGGGCAAGGAAGGCTGGACACACACACATACACACACACACACACACACACACACACACACACACACACACACTGAGACAGCATCTGTCACTCAGCTCTGCTCTCCGGCATAAGTTTGTTCAGCATGATACAGATGTAGAAACAGGTTCAAAAACATTCAAGGATTTGTTGACAGTGTAGTTAACATAAACTTGGGCTGAGTTCTGAAGTCCTTGTGTTTTATTGCCTCTGTGTATGATACAGTACGATATTCCATAGGGATTACTGAAAGAGGAGAGAGACATCTTGCAGGTTGGCAACCCATACTCTGCCTCTCTCCACTGGAAGATAAGGAAGAGAATCTTATAAATAACAAAAGCTACTGAAACAAATCTTAAGTCTAACCACTTTTGTTCATTTGTTTGTTTTGCTTTTGTTTTTGTTTTTGGTACTGGGGGTTGAACTCAAGACCTCGCACTTGCCAGGCAGGTGCTTATGCCACTGGGCTAAACCCCCATCCGCTCTAACCACTTTTTTGATTGTTATTTAATAAGCATTCCATTTACCCATGGTACTGTATTCTGCTCAATGCATACTGCAGGAATTAAGCTTATACCTTACAGTAAGTGATGGCAGCAAGCAACAGTCAGGCCATGAAAGTCCGTGGAAAAGAGGGAGAACCCAAGAAAGAGAGTGGAATCAAGACTGTATGACAAGGTGGTTCTAAAACTGTTCCAGCCCTGATTATGAGCTCACCCTTAGACGAGTTGGTTTTCGTTCCTGGAGCTTAACAATACCCACTCAAAAATAGTAAAGGGGAGAACAGAAAGCTGAGGAACAAACAACCTTAGTAACTTAGGAGTTTCTGGCATTTCACAGTTAGACATCTTGTTTAGCTGGGATTTGTCAGAACCTGTTTTTTGAGCCAGACTTTTGCCCAAGAAGGTGAAGGAGGGAGTGTAGAGAAAAGAGACCCAACAAAGTACTAAAGGTGGATCAAATCTCATAGGCAGGAGATTTGGTGGCTGTTTCTTAAAGAATAAATTGCAAGACATCAAAATTTCAGTCTGCTTTGAGGTAAGACTTCCAGGCACTGGACAAATCAGCATCTAGTACTGACCACACAAAATCATTCATTAGATTTTTTTATAATTATTTTGATGAATAAATGGATGAAATAACTCCTGTGAACCACCTGCCATCCCACCCCTCCTATGAGCATAACAAGAACCTAGATGGAATATCTTATCAGCCTTTATTCCAAATACCACCTCTCCCACTCTCAACCCAAATCTCCCCAGTTACTACAAGAAACTTAATAAAAAAACTGTAAACGATTCAGTCTCCTCATCTGGATAAATCTAATAATCGTATCAGCTCTCACTCCATACACACAGTGGTAACCATACACCCAAACTCTATGTAACATTTTTCGAAATGGTGTGTGTGTGTGTGTGAATTCCAAGAATTGCAGTATGCGCAAGCTTGTTGTAGTTTCAAATCTCCATGGACATGGATACTTCTCAATAGCTATGGTCTCCAAGGTGCTTAACAGCCCCGTAGGTAAATTCTCCAAATTAGATAGTCCAGTACAAGGGGTACCAGGAAAAACTGGCTTCCCTGATCCTGTATGTAGATAAGTCAGTTTGCCCCTCTGAAAACTATCCTCTGCCTGCACCGTCCCAGCTCCTCAGTCCTCTCTTAAGCGAGTTTGGTCCTCCGCCACAGATTGCTTCTTGATCCCTTCCAGTCCCACAACATTGGGGCAAATCTGCTCCGGCCACCCTTAAAGACTACAGCCCCCAGCATGCTCCGCGCAGGCTGGAGCCGCGTGATCTTGCTCCCCAGGTGGCATGGTCACGTGACACCAGGAAGATGGCCGCCGTGACTACCGAGGATTTTGCAGCGCTGCAGATCTTGCTAAAGGTAAATGCAGGGGAGAGGACGCGTGAGGCTGCGCTTTGGCTCCGGGACTTTGTACAAAAGAGATACACTGAGAATAAATTGGCGCTGGTTTGGAGCCACCATCTGCCACTGCTACTCTGTGTTACTCCGGGCAAATCGGTGCGCCTTCCTGAGTTTATTAAGAGCAGGAGCAAACAACGACCGTAAAAGAAGACGGGTGGGAAAAATGAGATAATGGGCGCTGTACAAGTGCTCTCGGGGCTGGTTTTCGGTATTGGCGCCTGGGGGTGGAGATTGCTAAATTCTCCTTGCCAGTTCCCCATTTCATCCCGCAGTCTCTGCGTCCCGGGTTAACAAACTCCGACTTTGTCAGCCCATGCCCGGGAACTAAGATGTGCTGTGATCCCCCGAGCCTGAGTTTTCTTCATCATTTTGGCCAATATAAGGCCAAAATACTCTCCTGGTAATCATTTGTTTGGAAGATTGTGAAGTTGAAAGAGATGTACTTGAAGTCGGAAATCTTAACCAATAGGTTGGAATTACGCATTGTCAATAGCTGACATTACAGCGATCTGTTGCCTGCTGTCTTCTTTCAAAGATCCAGGAAGAAACTTTTCTTTCATATTTTCCTTCTCTTGTTAGGTGAAAGGGGTTGAATTAATTGCATTCATTTCATGGCACAACATCATCAGTCCATGAAATAGTCTCTAATTTATTTTATTTATTGTTCAATGGCCTCCCCAGTATTCATTTGGATTCTCAAGACCCAAAGGCTTTTACTTTGTTGTCACAGTATACCCCCACAAGTCGAGCAACAACTGCAATAAGTAGCTGATAAGTAACTGAATCAATGTACTGACTGAACTGGAGACTGAAAACCCTAGCTTTCAGCTCCCAACCCTGTGCCTTGCGTTTTCATTGTGACTACTTTGCACACTCTCCATTTTTTGTGCATGGTTGTCTTGCGGACTTTTTTCTTTAAAGAATTTTTGAAAACTAGTAAGTCACAAAGCTAACAGAGAATGCACCAGTGTTAAGTGCACAGATTAATCATTTATTACATACCCTTGTAACCGCCGCAGACAAAAAAAAAAAAAGGAAACATCACTGGTGCTCTGGAAGTCCCTTTATTGGTGTTTCGTTATTTCCCCCACTCTTCCCCAGCTGCCTGCTGTAACACTACCAGTGCTTCTAACACAAGTTCTGGGGGCCATTTGAGGAGGCGTAGTCACAAGACACAGTGAATGTTTAAATTTTTAAATACTTACAGAAATAAAAGACATTGCCATTAATTCCCCCACTAAATACCCCCATGGTTTGATCTCACTTGTTCCGTCTTTTTTGTCATTTTTCTGAAGCAGTCCTGGAAATCTACTTTGGTCCCTTTAGTTGTGTAGTTGTGATTTTCTTGATGTCCTGGATCACCTCAAAGTGATCATTTTGACTTTGGAGAAGAGCCAGAAGTTGCATGGTACCAAAATCCGATGAAGACCATGTATGAGGACACAGCTTACTGTTTTTCCAAGCCTGCCTTTCCACTGGATGGCACTCAGCAGCAGCATTCACAGTATTTTTGGTCACATTTCATAAAGACAAAGCACAAAAGAGGACTTCCAGAACTTCAGAAAGTGGCGGGCGTGATGTGATAAGTGTGCCTGAAGTGAGGGGGAGTATTTTAAGTGGGATTGATGGCAAAATGGCTCTTTTAATGCAATAATTTTTTTAAGTTTAAACATGCGTCATATTTTTTTAATTAGCCCTTCTTGTTTGCTAGGTCTGCCATTATAGAGTACAAACTGGGTGGCTTAAACAACAGATTTATTGTTTCACAGTTTTAGAGGCTGTAAATCCCAAAGCAAGGTGTTAGTTCAATTGGTACTTTCCAAGGAATAGTCTGTCCCATTTTATTCTCCTAGTAATTTTTGACATGTGCTGGGTTATAGATTGCTGTATTTATATTTTTGTTGCATATTTAGAAATGTCCAAGTGTTTTGTTTTGTTTTTTTCAGTACTTGGAATGAAGCCAAATCCTTAACAATGAGCTGCATCCCAGCCTTTAAAAAAAAAATGAGGACATTGATTATATTTGATTATTCCATCCTAAAAATCTCATCTAAACTGATTTATGTATACAGCAACAGTGTTTCCAAATAATGTCATATTTTGAGATGATTACGGTTTCAAATTTCAATACATGGATTAAGAGAAAGGAACACGTAATCAGCTCATGACAGGATCTTTCTCAGAGCAATAGATTTAATTTGATGAGGTACAATTTGTCATTTTTCCCCCTTTTTATGAATTATGATTTTGGTTTCAAATCTAAAAACTTGCCAAGTTGTAAACCCCAAACTTTCCTGTTTTTCCCTAAAAGCTATATGATTTTATATTTTACATTTATGTTTTAAGTCCATGCTTCATTTTCAGTTGTGTATAAAGTAAAACGAAAGTTGAGTGGTTTTTTTTTTTATATCAAATTGTTTCAACACCATTTGTTGCAAGGATCTCTTTCCCTCATTGAATTCCCTTTGCATTGTGGTAACGAATCAGTTGGGCATTTTTGTGTGAATATATTTTAGTGTTCTCTGCTGTGTTGCATTGAACCGTCTGTGTATCCTTCTGAAGGTGCTACAGTCTTGAATGCTGTAGCTAAATGTTTGAAATCAGAAAGATTGATTTTTCTAGATTTTTTTTATTAAAATTATTTTAGCTATTACATTTCCTTTGTTCTTCAGTGTAAATCTTAGAATGATGTTGTTAGTTACATCTTTTAAAAAAAAGGAAAGAAAGAAAAAAAATACTTCCTGAAGTTTTGTTTTGTTTTGTTTTGTTTTGTTTGAGACAGGCTCTCTCTATGTAGTTGAGGCTGGCCTTGAACTCCTGAATCCTGGAATCCCAGACCTACACCACTATGCCTAGCTCTAAACTTTTGATTGCTGTGTTAGTTATTTCTCTCATTGCTGAATAAAATATCCAACACCTAAAGTTAAAGGAGGAAATGTTTATTTTGAATCACAATTTATAGAGGTTTCAGTCCACAGTTGACTGACTCCAAGGCAGGATGGCATGGCAGAGCAGGCAGGAAGCAGGAAGCAGCAACCAGCAGCAAACTTCCCTGTCCTTTTTATCTTACCCAGGCTATAAGCCTTTTGGGCAATGCCACTCACAGCCAATGTGTGCTTTCCAATTATGCGTACCCAGAATGATGCTCAACCAATCAGTGGACTAATTTAGTTACCACACCCTTACTCCATATCCATACACCCCTAATCCACATTTGCATACTCTAGATATAGCCATGTCCAAAAACCTCACCTATGAGCACATGAGACTTTGAGGGGACATACAGATACAAGCCATAACAATTTGAATTGCATTAAACCTATACACTAATCAAGAGAGCATTGATATATTTAGAATGTTGACTCTTCCAATCCAAAAATATGATATCTGTCCATATTTATTTAGATTTCCTTTGATTTCTTTCTTCTGTATTGCATCCTTTTCAGCATACATGTCCTGTATTTCATTTTTTGAGCAGTTGCAAGTGGTATATTTTTAATTTCAGTGTAAATGAAATTTTGATTTAAATACACCATATATTTTATCAGCCCTGATATATTGCTTATTCTTTTTTGTTAATATTTAGTAAAAAATTTTGTGTCTATTTTCATGTAAGGTGTTAGTCTGTAGTTTTCTTTTTTTCTCTTTTTGTACTATTTTTTATCTGGTTTTGGTATCAGGTTAATACCAGCCGTAAAATACATTAGAAATTCTTCCCTCTTACTCTGTTTCATAAAAGATATTGCATAGAATTGGTTAGTTCTTTCTTTAAATGTTTATTAGAACGTGCCATTGTTTGTTTGTTTTGAGAGAGAGTTTTAAAGTTTTGAGTTCAGTTTCCTTAATAGCTACAGGAATATTCAAATTATCAATTTCCTATGGGGGCTAGTAATTTTTTTTGAGTAATTAGGGCATTTCATTTAAACTGTCAACTTTATACATACAGAGTTTTTCAGAGGGTTTCCCTTATTATCTTTTTGATGTCCAAGGCTCTACAGTGATACTTACTTCATTTCTGATACTGGTAATTTGTTCCTTCTTGCCTTTTGTCAATCTTTCTGAAAATTTGTCAATTTTATTGATATTTGTTTAAAGACCAGCTTTTTGTTTCTTTACTTTTTAATCTTTTTCAATTTCTTTTCTTCTGCTTCCTTCAGGTGTATTATGCTCTTTTTTCTTTGGTTTTTAAAGTGGACACTTGTATTATTATTTTGAAATTTTAAGTTTCTTTGAGACTTTTTGAACTATAATTAGTTAGAAATATGTTGTTCCAGTTTCCAGGTGTTTAACTGGAATAATAGAATGTGGCGTTTGTCTTGTTTTATGGCTCTGAATATGATCTAGCTTGGTATTAAACTAAGGATCAGTAACAGAGGTAACAGGAAAATTTTTTAGAATTCTGCTTAGATTTAATCTGTATTTCTAAAATGCATTTCTTTTTATACCCTTTTTTATACCCTTGAAGCGGCTGCTCCGGTTACTACATTATATATGCATAACTTACTTTAACAGTTAGGAGGAGGTATAGAAATCTTACCTTCCTCTGTGTGCTTTTACCCTCCCTCACCTACAACTGTCTTAAAAATTTCCCCTACCTACATTTAGAGCTTCACCAGTGTTAAAATTTTTGCTTCTGTCTTTAAATATAATTTGGAAAACTCACGGCAAAAGAGAAAAGCTTTCTGCTTTTGTACCTATTTTTACACATTCTGTTCCTTCCTGATATTCCAAGATTTCTTCTTGTTCCAGAAAATCTAATTTGAAAGAACTAATTGCTGGGGGCCAGAGGTGCCAAGAAACCAAAACAAGGTGCCAGGCACATTCATGGCACTGACAGTGCCCAGATTCTGCGTGTCCTGCTCCACAGACCACTCTCATGCTGTAGTTTTGTTTTTCTATAAGGTGCTGGCAGACAGTTGAGGAGGCAGTTGTTCCTCAAGGGCAGATCATGATGGTTATCATTCAACATGGCAGCAGGATCCTTCAAGCCGATCCCTCCGGTTCTTTTTATTCTGTTTAGAGAATGTAATTTTGCCATTATTTTGTAGTAGATCTCATGATAGGTTTTTAAAATTATCTTTTTATCAGTGAATGAATTAATGTTTTGAGTTCAGCCTTCATGAAGGCTGTTTTTGCTGACTGTAGGATTCTAGGTTGACGATTCTTTCTTTGTTTCATCACCTGAAAAATATTGCACCACTTCCTCTGGTCTCTGTGGTTTCTGATAACTGTTTGCTTTAAGTAAAGTGTTGTTTCTCTCTTACTACTTTCAAGATACTTTCTCTTTGCCCTTCATTTTCAGAAGTTTAATTACAATGTAATGTGGTTCTTTTATTTTTCATATCTAAAATTTCTATTTTATTCTTAGTATTTTCCATTTCTTTGCTGAAACATTCTCCTTTTTATTTGTTTCAAGGTTGTTCAAGTGTTGTTATCAGGACTGCTTTAAAATCTTTTGTCATTCAAATTGAGATCTTTCTGGTCCCTCATTTGTTAAGCGATTCTTATTAAAACCTGGGCATGTTCACATTAAGCTCTGAACCTCTGGATCTTACATTTTAATGTTCTAGTAGGTTTTCTCTGGCACTGCTCTGGGATAGAAAGCAGGCACTATCTGCTGGAAATAGAAGACCAGGTCCATACCTGACTCCTGTTGGTGTCTGAATATAGTGGTTTCTTATTATTCCAGGGTAGCAGTAAAAGCTCTGTCTCCTCATGGTCTTTGTTAAAACCAGAGGGTGGTGGAACTTGTTCCTGGTTAGTGAAGATGAAGATGTCAGCAGCCTACTTGGCCTTCTGTGATACCACCCATGGAAGTGCTGGGGCCCCTCATTACAGCCTTGCAGGATTCCCACTCAGCTTCTAGTGACATCAGTCGGGTGACTTCATAGTGATCTGGAGCAGTTATTGGTCCTGACACTTTGTCTACAGATAGTATTTATTTGAAGATTTATTTTCCTGTACCCATTGGCATTTCCAGGTTGCCCTCTTCAGTCCAAAATCTGGGATATATGAGACAAGAAAACCCAGTGAACCACCATTGTGCCATCATTCGGTCCTCAAGGCCATAGTTGATCTGCCTTTTCTTTTCCTCTTTCAGAGTCATCTTACATTTGTTTTCTGCATAGTGCCTAGGGATTTCAGTTATACTTAGCAGAAAGAATAGACAAAAGTGTGCCTAGTCTGTCTTCCCAGACATGAAAATGTCATATGTTCCTTTAAATCTTAAATCTCAAAGGTGCCACATAATGACTAAGACAGCATTATTCAGAAACACATGTTTTCTGCCTTGACTTTTTTCCCATGTGTGAATTAATTTAGGCCTCCTCAAAAGATGCTGTCAGACAGCTATGTCAGGAGAGCTTTTCCAGTTCAGCCCTCGGCTCAAAAGAACTCGTGGCTATGACGTGTTCCAGCTTGGCTGTGACGCAGGAGGAGGCAGAGCACGTAAGTATGGTCAGAAATGGCCTGTGGCCAGTTGTGCTGGTCACTTGTTAATCTCCCTCTTGACTTCCCAGTTGTTGCTATGAATTTCCTCCTGAAGTGGCTGTTAGCATTGTAGATTTTTCTTTTCTTTTTTTTTTCCCTTGTCTTTGAACACTGCCTTATGATCAGTAAGACATGAATGGGACACCTGTACCCGGAGACAGAGCTCCTGATCCTTATCTTTTCAGACTTTTCAGACAGCAGAGACAGAAGCCAGCCTTGGTGATTTTTCTTTCCTACCATGTAACTTGCCAATGGCGATGACCTATCGGCTGGATAGCTGAGAGCAGACTTTTTGGGGCACACAAAGCAGAAATGTGGAAATCTGAGCTGAATACCATTGGGGCCGGTCAGGCTCCTCAAGGGGGCTTTGGGTACCACATCCTTCTCATCCCTCTTCCCCAGGGAAGTCTCCTGTGCAGGTCACCTGATCTCAGCAGATGGCCAAGAGGAGGAGATAATTAACACTAAGTAACACAGCAGTGATATGCTTCTAAAGCTGGCATCTCTTCATCTAAATAGGCTGAAGGTGTTATTTCTCTAATCTGAAATTTTGCTCATTGAAATCTACTACAGAATCGTATAAGGCAGGACTGAGAGTACAGAGGTGAGCTGGGAACTTAGTTTTAATTCCTGTAAAGGAGACACTGAGGCAAGGATAGGGTGCAGCTAGTTTTCGGGTGGCGAATCTAGGAAGCACATAAGAGAGGGCAGGGAAAATCAAATAGGGGAAGCAGACAAGTGTGTGAAGTGTTTGAACGAGTCCCCTGGTTGGTGGGCGGAGGGTTAACTTCCCCTCACTTCTGAGCTGTGTCCGCCTGCTGAAGCAGACTCCAGTGGTACCAGAGAAACAGTTACTTCCAGAGCTTCTTGGGCTCAGCAGAGCATCCTTACAGTCAGAGTGCACAGCAGGGCAGGGGCAGACTCCTTTCACAGAGGCAGTCCGCACAGCCAGCCAGAAGCTGTTTGTTTTCTTTGCCCTTCCAAGTGACAGCTTACGGGCAAGGACATGAGACTCCTGCCACCCAGGATTCAAAGCCCATACGCCACAGGAACCAATATATCCTGTCACACTTCAGTCAGCACAGCTTCAGCTTCTTGCAAGGAGCTTGCAGCCCCGCTCAGGGAAGCTTGGTGCTGAGGGCCCCTGGCTGTTCACGCAGCCCTTTCGTCCAGAGGCAGTGGACCAGTACGGGGTTGCCTAGTAACCCAGCTAACTTTCAGCTTCTGTCAGGTTACCAGGGAAACCGTCCCAGAAAGTTAACTGAAGGTCAGATACTCGCACAGAAGGAAAAGGCGTGTGTTAACCATGTGTCCGCCTGTAGTTTCTGATCATCCCACAGCTTCCTAGGCCAGGCAGTGGCACCTGTCTTGGCCTCGGGTGGCCGAGGCACGTGGGGCATTAGCATCTGCTAGAAGTGTCCACCTTCCTGTGACTCATTCAAGTGTCTGTGTCCAGCCAAGAAGCCTGTGTTCTGCCCCTGTCCCTGCTGCTCCTGTAGCTATAGGCCTGCCCCTCTGTCCTGCAGCTACTCCAAGCTCTGCACCGCCTCACCAGGCTGGTGACCTTCCGGGACCTGTCCTCTGCCGAGGCGATTCTGGCTCTCTTTCCAGAAAATTTCCACCAGAACCTCAAAAACCTGCTGACAAAAATCATCCTGGAACATGTGTAAGTCGTCACTTTTTAAAGTTCCTTCTTTTATGTCTTATTATTTTTACTTTCTGTTCAAGAAATAATAACACTATATATTCAGTGCTGAAACATTAGAAATGACACCTAGAAACTTGTTACCTAGAAATTAGCAGTGTTAATTCCGTAATGGAAAGTCTTACAACATGCTTATTATTTCTCTTTGCATGTGTACAGAGGGTTTTTTTTTAACAGAAAAACATGCCATTTTATAACTTGCTTGATTTCAGTTAATTGTATCAACATAAATGATACTTCAGGTCAATAAATATTTACCTTCAATATCACGTTAAATTTGTAATGGTTAATGGTAAAATATGTTCCGTGATATGAAGGAATTGGGTTCCTTAGTGGTATATATTTAGGGTATTAGCGGTTTTTCACTTTAGGGAACAATTTATAGTAGAAACTTCGTTCCTGTGTTTAATTAATTCCTTACTGGAACAGAGGCCTTGAACAGGTTGGGTTTTGGCCCAGTGTTACAGGCTGGCCATCAGGAAGAGGCCATGCTTTTCCACTAGTAGAACAACATTCCTTTCTGCCCGCACTTCACGGAGTGGACTTTTTCTTACCTTTTTTGTAGCTCCTCGGACACCAGGTGGAACCTCATTTCAGGTTGCATATCATTGAGACGAAGGGTGTCGAATGCTTTTTTCATGTGCTTATCAGTCACTTTTAATTTGTTTTGTGAATTATCTGCATATCTTCAGAGCGAGCCAGATTCTGTACAGCACACACATACACACAAAATTTAAGTACAATTGATTTGTTTAGTACATGGCTTAAATGGACTTTTAATAACAATACCAAATGCCTGTTTTCAGGGGTTTTGTCATTTATTTGGAACTATCATGTATGACCACATTCTGTTCTGACTTTCTTAGCATCTCACCATGATGCAGTTTGCTGTAGAGTCAGCCAGATCTGTTTGGTGTGTTGTACTTAATAAGATGCAGTACTCTGTGTTTTCGGTGGTCTCTAGGGAACAAATTGACCTTTTCTGTGTTTGTCATTGAGAACAATAGTGCAGTCAGATTACAGTGCATTAAGCCTTTTGTCTTTGTCCTACGCCTTAAAAACAAATAATGCTTATAACCTTGACTTCACAAAACTTCATAAAACAAATAAAAACCTGCTTTCAGGAGGGAGGATTTTCTAAGTTCCTTTCCGGTTAAGAGATCTGAAGAACATAGGAAAGGCAGAAGCTCAAGTCTCCAATTTTGAGAAAATGTGGTTTCATCTTTTTTCTGTTGTTTTTCTTCATCTTTCCCTCTTAAACAGGTCTACCTGGAGAACTGAAGCCCAAGCAAGGCAAAGTGAGTGCTCCTTCCTTACCCCTGTTCCCGGCTCCAGTTCGAACCTGTCAGTTGGTCAAAAGGAGGGATTCGAGTCCCTAGCCATTCTTGTGTGTTGTGTATTTTTCTAATTTCACTGTTTATTTTTCTTACATTATAAACATTATTATAGAATCATGTTTTTAAAATACAGAAATATCCAAAGCACAAAATGAAATATTTAATTGTATTAGTTTCTGTCCCGTCACAAGGACAAACTACCCAACACCTGCAATTTGAAGGAGGAGATGTTTATTTTGGCTCACCGTTTCAGCAGGTTTAGTGCATGGTTGACTGGCTCTGACACCGAAACACACAGTAGAAGGATTTGTGGAAGAAAGCTGCTTAGGTCATGGCGACTGGGAAACAGAGTGAGAAGAGAGGAGCTAGGGATGTGAATACGTCAGGGCCCCAATGCCTGGTCATGAGACTAGGGAGACATTTTAGATCTAAACCAAATCAGTAATTATATTTTAGTGAAGAAAAAATGAATAATTGAAATTACCTTGAAGATTGAATATAAGTGCGTGTTTAATGACACTGAGCCAGCCCCAGTTCTGGGGCACTTCTGTATTGACTCGCCTCATCTTCCAACATCCCTGTGGACTGACTAAGCTGAAATGACCCCAGTTATTCAGATGAAGAAGCTCACAGGTTTAGTTGGGTGGTGGAAACCTGCATTCAAACCAAGTGTCTTTAAAGCAAGACCTTTACCAGTATTGCTGAGGTGACACTCTTCCTAAGACTCAGCCCATGACTCGTGTCCCTTTTCATTCTGCTGTGACATTTAGAAGGTTGGGTCTTAAGGCAGAAGCCTGTTGACATGGCACTATGAGCTAGTTCTGAGGGCTGGTGACACTGAGAGATGAATGGGTAAGGCCCACAACTTGGTGGTGTCATTACCCCATCTGCCTGTCTCTTTCAGAGATTTATCCTATAGGTCAAATGTATTTCATGTGTACAGCCCTTAGAGCCACGTGCCAAAGAGGGTTGGCAGACATGGGCGGCATGAGCTCGTTCTGAGCTGAGCTGTCTTTCCACAGTCTCTCTGCCACGCCTAGTTGACCTGGACTGGAGAGTAGATATCAAAACCTCCTCGGACAGCATCAGCCGCATGGCCATTCCGACCTGCCTGCTCCAGTTGAAGGTGAGTCACTGTCGTGCTCCTTAGATGGAAAGCAGGAGCCCCAGTACCCTGGCCCCCGTGGCCATCTACGACACATGCTGCTGATGTCCTTGTAAATTAAACAAGAACCACATAGCATCCCCCAGATGTGAAAGCAGAGGTTTTAGAACAGTGAGAGCAATGCAAAGCATTTCATTATTTATTTGCTGGTACCTAAAGGTGTACAGGAAGTGAGCAGTTGGCTTTAACGGTACGGCATGCATTCAGATTTCACATAGCTTCTGCATTTTTTCAGTTTCCTTTTGCCAACTTCTTAGCCAGTAGAAGAGGCTGTCACCTTTGGCAGCATGGCTGATCAAGCTTCTGTTGGTAGTGAGGTGTCATTTCTTCATTTTCCTGATGTGCCCTTGTTGATTACCTTTGCATGATAATTGTTTCAGGAGTGTCTCACAGTCACACCCACTTTGTAAAATTAGCTAAAACTAGACAGCACACTGCCCTACCTGCTTCAGCATTCACCCGGAGAGGTAAGCAAATGAAGAAGTAAGGATCCCTCTGGCAACCATGTTTTAAGTGGTAGTAAAGCTTAGTTTCTCTTTTGAAGGTGAGATTTTAAATCTTTCCTGCACTCAGTGGGTTATTTTAGTGCCTCACAGAGCCCGCTTCTTAACGGAGCAGTGTGAACATGTGATTACTCACTTGGGCTCTGAGCCTTAGGGTACTGGCAAAGGGCGTGCACTTCGCTGTGGCCTCCTCCAGTGGGCACCGAGGCACTGTAGCAAGTGGAAAGCGATGCAGGCCTTTGAGCCTCTCCTGCACCCTCCCAGTTGCTGGCTGTCGGAGCTCGGGCTCCCTACATCTCCCAGCAGAGAGCTTGTCTGCAGAGCGCTGCAGGACTGAGTGGGCTCCCACACAGGGAGCCAGGAGGAGAGAAGGATTTGACTGTGGGCTATGATTTCTTCACAGATCCAGGAGGATCCCAGTCTATGCCGGGACAAGCCCTGCACCTCCGCTGTGACCGTGGAACTGAGCAAAGAAACGCTGGACACTATGTTAGATGGACTGGGCCGCATTCGAGACCAGCTTTCTGCTGTGGCCAATAAATGAACCAGCCAGCTGCCAGTTTTGCTCCCATGTCCCGGCCAGTGTCAGTGACGAAGCAGTGAAGCACCTCCCCTTGAGGCCACAGCTCAGCTGACAGGGCAGTGGGATGGAGGACTTGCTGTGCCACAGGCACAGGCAGACAGGGGGACGCAGCCAGACCTTTGCCGTTCTCTCCCTTTTTCTCAAGCTGATGAACAGAAGCCTCCATCTTTGAAAGGTTCCTGGGCATAGGCCAATCACTGCTGTGCAAGATAAGGAACTCGTGCTCCATCAGCTGCCTCTGCAGGGCTGCCACAGATTGAGGCCCACGCTGTGGAGCTTCCCTAATGAGTTCATCTTCACCATTACCTCTCATGAGTTCATTTCCAGCCTGGGAACAAATGGAAGCAAAGGAATGAGACCAGCTGCTCCTGCGCCTCTCTGTAACAGAGAAGCCATGCAACTCTCACAGAGCCGGGTCACTGTAACGTGGTCCCTTCCGGGCATCCCCTGAGCTCCCCACCCTGCTGGACCATCTCCCCAGCTTGGGAAATGTGAGTCACTCTTGGGAGAGGATGTGAGAGCACTGTAATTGGAAATAAATAACAGTTTATGATTCTGGTCATGATTCTTTTCACCTCCGTTGTTGCCTTTGACCCTTGCTACCTTCTTCTTAAAGATCCCAACTTCTGATTCCCAGCAAGCCCACGACCTCTGGTGTGACTTGAAACCAGGTTTATGATTCTTCTTACCACCTTCCGTGTTTCTGCTGGTCATGCAGAGCAGAAGGGAGCAGGGTTAGCAGTAAGTCTGTGCTTGTTCTGAGGGCCAGGAGAGTGACATTCCTTAGACCTTATTGATACGAGATCATCCCAGCCATGTGCCTCACATACCACAGGGACCCTGTGCGAGACGACCTTTTCTTATCCAGATCGCCCCTGTGGCTGTACCGACAGTGTGCAGCCTGCTCACTGAGCCCCATATTTTCAGTTTCTCTAATGGGGTGTGCAAGGAGTGGGTCGGGATGTGGGACCACAGGTTGAGGATACAGTATGTATGTGGGGCTCAGGCCACAGGATCTAAAGCTAGTTTTGCTTCTTAGTAGCTCAATTCTCACCTCTTCTTTTTACTTTTGTTTTTATTATTAAACAGGTATGGTAATAGTACTAACTTCATAGAACTTCTCTTCAGATTAAACAATGCAACATGCCTAAAACCACTTAGCTGTTCCAGCTCATAGGAAAGGCTCAGTAACGTTAGCTGCAGTTATTCATGAGAATGAAAGTAGGAAGCTCTGTGCGTTCATTGTTTCATCTGCTGTAACGGCTGTAGGAGGAGGATTGCTATTATCCTCCCTTTATTGATGAGGAAACCAGCTCATCGAGATTTAGTCACCTGCTGGTAAATGTCCTCATTAGGACTTGGGCCCAGATTTCTCCAACTTTCCGTTACACAAGACTCAGCAAGGGGCACTGGAGTTCTGTACCTCGTTTCATTTGGAAAATTTTGAAACTGAAGTAAAGAGGAAAAAGCTTACTTCTGCTCCCCCAGTGAGATGCCAGGAAGTTAAAAAGAAAAATCTCAGCTCCCTCTTTGCCTCCTGTCTCCTGGAAGCTGAGTGACCTGTTTTTAAAGTAGCTTAGCCTGACATGGAGGTGCTTGTCTAAAAATTCCAGCATTTCGGGAGGTTGAGGCAGGAAGATCACAAGTTTGATCCCAGCCTGGGCAACTTAATGAGACACTAGCTCAAAACTAAAAAAGGCCTGGGGTTATAGTTCAGTGCAAAGGCCCTGGGTTCAATCAGTAGTACTACAAAAGAAAATCAAAAGTAGCAGTTCTAAACCCTTCTGGGGCCATACATTGTCCTACAATCAGATGGAAACTAGACCCTTTCTGCGGGAAATGAACATTAAATTTTCCACATGCCGTGATGGGTCCCTTAAGCCAGCCTATCTCTTCTGGGTTGAGAGCCCCTGATTTTACCCTTAGGTTGAGTTCAGCCTTGTCACAGATTCATCCCTCCCTTTTCCTTCACTCTGTGACCTGCAAACAGGTCTCAAATCCCTGTGCTCTTGGCCCTTCACAAACACTCACAAGAAACTAATCAGGCAAGGAGCCCAATTCTGGCCAGGTAGACATTCCTCCACAGCCTGAGCTGTACTGAGCCATCTGACTGTGTGACCCATTCCTTGAATACCTGTCTGGCTTCCCAGTTGTATTTTGAGTGATGCAGCACTCGCTAGGGCTCAGTAAGGTTCTGATGTGCAGGCTCCAACCACAGAAGGTCAAGGGTTGATCTCTGAGGGCCTGTGCTCCTGGCTGCCCAAAACATTCTGCTTTACCTGGCCACAAGGGTAAACAGCAGGCTCATCCTGCTCAACCTTTGCCGCAGAGGCTGTCAAGGGTTCATGACTCCCGTGGGGCCAGCGTGTCACTCCCTGAGCTTTCATTGATGGAATCAGCAGTGATCACCACCACCTCCTGTGCTTTGATGGCAAGGTCCGTGCTTCTGTCACAGAAAGCCTGACTTCAGGGAGGCCTTCTAGACCCCAGAGATGGAGGAAAACACTGGAAAATCTTTCCCCTTTTCACTAAACATTGAGCTGCTGGTCTCCAGGGAAGGAACCTCTCAGTATCTTGCTGCATTGAGGAATAAGTCACAACAGCAGAAAGGTTTGCAAACTTTCTGTGGAGTACCATGATGCCCCTTGCACTGACCCCACCAAAGGCCCTGCACACAAGTGAACATTCAAGTGAAGCACTGTCCTATGACTCCTGGGAACAGGCTGATATTTGTCACAGAAAAACTTGGAAAGAAAAGGGGAAGTGGTTTACCAAGTTGCCTGGGAGTGTGTAACATGCCGGGCACTAGGCTCTTCAATCCCGCTGACTCAGCTGTGTGGTCACTGCTGTCCAGGGAGTGGGTCATACCTGTCCCTTAGCTTTAGAGAGTTAGTCCCTCCCTTCAGGGAGGCCTTTCAAGGCACCCCAGTAACCAGTTGCCTCTAGTACAGGTGCATGATCCTAGACCCTGGATCCTGGCTGGATACTCTACCAATATGGAGAAAAACATTAAGCTCTTCTGGATGCTCTACCCCAGACTAACTAAGGCTGCCTGAGGAAGATGTAGCTTTTCAAGTGCCACAATTTTAGGTCAGGGATGTATGGCAACTGCTGGCAAAAAGCATGATGCAGTAGCCATTAACCAAGCAGCTGCACTTCAGTGACCAATGGGGCCTTTCCAAGCTGTGTCTCTGCCTGTTCGGTGCAGGTAGTAAGGTAAGAGCAATATAAGTTCATACCACCTCCATCTCTACCAAGCCACCTGCTTGCTTCACCAGCTGATCTAGAAATGTGCACCAGGTTTGTTTCAATTGGCAGAGGTAAGATGTGAGGATGCAAAAATGACTGTCATGAAGGAAGTTGCTTAGGCTGATAGAGCTCATAGAGCCTAGGGAACAGGAAGCAGAGTGTCACAGCCACAGTGCTGTCAAGAGGCGGGAAGGGAGACAAAGGGTGGGTTTGTGACTCACTGGAGTCCCTGAGAGGCCCATGATGATGGCCAGCCGCAGGTCAACACAGTCGCCGAAGGAGAGGAGGAAACAGGCAAATCCCATCTATGGTTTTGCAGGTTCTCAGAAGTGACAGGCAAGTTACATGGCCATGTTCAACTTCACAGAGGACAGGAAAGTTCAGTCTTATGATGTTCTAGGAAGGAAGATCAAAGAGATTTTTGCAACTGGCTCTTATGACCACCCTGTCACTTGAACCAAACAATTCTTTGGTGTAAGCTAGTTTTCATTCATAAAATAATGAGGAATACCAAGCGCTCCATCTCAGTGCTTTTTCTCATGCTGAATCTTGTCACCTGTGTGGACCATGAAGGCATTTCAAACATGTCCCAAATGTATTACCTTCTGCCTAGCCCTGAGAGCCTGCATGATTTCATTCATAAGTAATTGTGCATTTTGCTGAGAAGGGAGCCCAGAGAGATCCCAGTTATTTGGAACTCAAATGTAGGTCTTTCCATTTAAAAGCCAATGGTTTCTCCATTGCTCTCTTCATCTGGAGACAGGAACACTCAAGCCTTTCCCAGGTCACTTATGTCATCCCTAACCCAGCAACTTGAAGCTCTCCCCCATCAGTCCTTCCTTACCCTTTTCATGTTCAGGGCTTTCCCACACCAGTAACTTCCCTGCACAGCCACAGCAAATGCCATTAGTCTAGCTCTGTGGTCTTGGGGTTTACAAATTTCCATGAAGCAAGTTCAGACTTTTGGAGGAGAGGCTCTCTGCTCTTTTGTTCACTGAGATTTTACCCCAAGTGAGATATGTTCCTTATTCCTTTTTATATTTGAATGTACATGCCATCGACTGTCTGGCATTTTGAATGTTTCCCAGTGGCTGAATATTTACAGGACTATTTTGAGCCTGTATCTGCTGATTTCTAAATACTGATAGTTCCTAAATGTTCAGAACTGCACCTTGCTGACCTTTGTACAGCTTCCTTCTTTCGGGGGTGCTTACATTTCTGTGGTTTAATCATCCTTTTTACAACAAGTTTAACAAAAGAGAAAGATTTGCTAGTATTCCTGCTTGGTGGCAGAGGATGTCTGTTTTCAAAAACGGAGGCTCATTCCTTCTTGGAGGAAATGTCAAGAATTCTAAAGAAGAGATCTGCAAGGCTGGGTTTCTGTTGGTCTCAGACTCTTGGGAAAAATGCTGATGGGCTTTTTCATCTCGTCTATATATAGAGATAACGTACTAGTTTTTCACTGCTGAGACACAATACCCAACACCCTCGACTTAAAAGGAGAGGTCATTTTGGCTCATGTTTCTGGCTATAATCAGCTGGCTCCTAAGAAGAAACAGCATGGCAAAGGGGCCTGACAGAGGAAAACCTGCTCGCCTCATGGCAACCAGGAAGGAGAGAATAAAGGACAGAGATAGACCGTTCCAGACCACACCTCCAGTGACGCATCTTTTGTGACCAGGCCCAACCCCTAACAGTATGGTTAGCTATAAACTCAAGAGTGGACTAATCCACCAAGGAGTATGGTTGTCCCCACGAACCAGTCACCTCCAATAAACTCCATCTATGAGCACACAAAGCCTTGGAAGGACAGATGGATATAAATCATAGCAGATAACTATGAGTAGGATTGGGGTCTTCCCCAATTTATGACCTAAATAATGGTGAATCCTACTGCCCAGTACAATCCAATGGAAAGGGAGACTCGTAAAAACATTACAAGGGGTCCTCATCCACTTTATTCACTAGATTTGGCACCATACGACTTCAGGGTCTTCCCCAACGTCAAAGTGACCATGAAGAGTATATATTTTGAATCAGTTCAGGACACTGAGGGAGTCACAACACTACAACTGAAGATACTCATGAAAGAGGACTTCCAGAAGTGCTTCAGAACCTGTGGGAGACAACTTGAGTGACTCCCCTTGAATTCAGAACAATTGCTGCAACTTTGATTATATTGACACTTATTTCCTTACACTGATGTGTACAAGCTGACTATGGTATTTTCTTCTCTCTTCAATTCACTCTAAGCATTGCAAATAAGGCTAGCCGAGGTACTAGTGTGTAATCTCTAAAGCCATC